CCTCCTTTCTTTTTTGCTGATGTCCACAAGTCAAGTAATTACTTGGAGGCCAAGAGGAACAAACAGCATTTGGCGTAAAACAAAATGTTAGAAAACATGTGCTTTGCGGGGCAGGGCCTGCCAGGGGTTGGTGTCCACGTGGGTGGGTTACTTCAGGGTGAGGAATAGACACCCTTCTGCTCTCGGGACACTGCAGATGTGGCTGCATGTCACACGTGGGTCATTAGGTGGCAGGAAGAGAGGCTTGTCTCACTCAGTGTTCTGGCCCATGATGTCTGGATATTAATAGTCTGACACTGACCAAAAAAAAAAAAAAAAAGACTCTCTGCCTAACGTGCAGTATTAGCAAAACAAATACAGTGGAGGAAAGAATCCCGGTACGTCCTCCAGAAATCTTGCTGCAGAAGTGCCTGCCACACCAGAGGACAAACACTATATGATTCCTCTTACCCGAGGTCCCCGGAGCAGTCACATTTATAGAGACAGGAAGTAGAAAGGTGCTTTCAGGGGCCGGTGACAGGGAGGAGGCAGCTAGCATTTCATGGGTATGGAGTTCCCATTTGGGAAGATGACAAGAGTTCTGGAGACAGACGGCGGTGATGGAGCGCAGCCGCAGGAGTGTGCCTAACGCCTCTCGACTGTGCCCTTAAAAATGATTAAAATGGTAAGTTCTGCCTTATGCATATTTTGCCGCAATTTTAAGAAAAGTGTCAATTAAAGACTGTCTTCTTGCTGTAGCAGGAGACAGTGGCATTTGAAGGCTGACACTCAGGGCTTGCTGGTTCTCCTCTCTGAGCCTCAGCTGTGTCCTCATAAAGAGCACTCAGGTCTTTCTGCAGAAGAATGGATGTGAAAGCACTTGGTGAACTGAAATGCACCATAAGAACATGAAATGTGGTGGAGATATTATTTCAAAACTCATTGTTAAGGCACCCGAATGTCGGGGGAAAAGTTAAAGTGAAATGGAGGAACTTTGGAAGAAACTAAGGAGAGGATTATATTTGGCAATTAGAGGACCTGGAAAATGCCCCAATACCTTAGGAGAGTAGGAGAGAATTTGGGGCTGGTTCTTGGGCACCAGAAGAGAGGACCAGCTTAGGCCATCCCAGCGATTTAAAATACTTCTCCCTTTTGCTTTGCCTAAATTGAGAAACAAGTTAAGCCCACCCATCAAGAGGAAATGAAACGAAATGAAACAATGTCAAAACATCACCTCTCAAATTTCATGAAGGGAAATGGTACAATTACAACACAATGGTGGGTCAAAGTTTCTGTGATCTGGAACCCAAATGTGCTGGTGGAACTCAAGTCACCATGGATCTCATTTACTGTTACATTAATGAAAAGCAAGTAAATCAAAGCCATTAAGTCCAAGCAATTTTTTTTCCACTTAAAGAAATAACGCCATTCACTACCACCAGCACCACCACTTACCAACATCTGTTAGGTTAGCGTATATTAGTGTGTGCCAAGCCCTCGTGTAAATGAGGGACACACTTCAGGAGTCTGGGTGTCTCAGTCGGTTGAGCATCCGACTTTGGCTCAGGTCATGATCTCACAGTTCGTGGGTTCGAGCCCTGCGTCGGGCTCTGTGCTGACAGCTAGCTCAGAGCCTGAAGTCTGTTTCAGATTCTGTGTCTCCCTCTCTCTGATCCTCCCCTGCTCATGCTCTCTCTCTCTCTCAAAAATAAATTAAACATTAAAAAAATGAGGGACACACTTTACCTTTTCATTTCTTAGAGCAACCATGCAAGGTAAATCTTTTTTTTTTTTTTTTTTTTTGTGGATAACATGAGAGTCATGTGTAGCAGTTTGTTCTTTCTGGTTGTTTCCTCATCCATAAAATGAGAAGTTACAGCCAGAGCCATCTAGCACCTTGTTCCTGGTCACACAGTTGGCAAGTAGTAATGTCAGGATTTGAACTCACGTCTGACACCAGAGCTCTGTACCAGAACACCACACTACTCTGGAGAAGACACTATGGCTGAGAAGCTTATGAAACAAAATCAGAAAGGTTTGCTCTGGGAGCAATTAGAATGAGCAGCTGGTAAATTGCTTTATCATGACATTCCATGATGTCACGTTGACACACCAGGGGGAAGAGCAACGAGCCTCATGAGTGTGTGTCAGCAGGGAGTTGGCTCTAAAGTTGGATGAAACCACCATGTACAGAGTATGAAAAAGGCTCAGCTGAGTTTTGTAGGTATGTAGGCAGGCATGTGCTGTGTCTCGTATGTTTTCTTCTCTTCGTTGTATGTCAGATGTGCTATGGATGTGTTGTGTTATGTGTGCAGTCTGTGTGTGTGTGAGTGGGTTGTGTGAGTGAAGGAGACTGGCCTGATGACTGACATCTTCAACATTGAAGACCAGACCCCCAACAGCCCACGCGTGGCGCCCATGGTGAGCCAGGCCCACCTCTTGGTGCCTCACATGTGATAACGCCTTAATCTTCACAACAGTCCTGTGCAGGAGCTACTAAGGGCAGCCTCACTTTATGAATGAGAAGTGGAGGCACATAAGGACCCACCAACTCACTCTAGACTACCCAGATAGTAAGAGGTGGATCTGGGGTTGGAAACCAGGGAGACTGACTCCAAATTCGTCTTTTTTCCTTTTCTTAATTGGTGCCCCCAGATCACCATGTGAAAGATGATAGAACTATCCTCCTCATTCTGTGGGTGAAGAGCCTGTGGACGATGTGAACACGTGTTGGCTGAGACAATCAGCCAATTAAACACTAGCCAAGGTGAGACAGGTGGCCATTGCTGGCCTTATAGTGCATGTGTGATTTCTTTTCTTTTCTGAAATATTTATTTTTAAGTAATCTCCACACTTAATGTGAGACTCGAACTCACAACCCCAAGGTCAACAGTCTCATGCTCTACCAACTGAGCCATCCAGGCACCCCCGCATGTGTCATTTCTACCAATTTAATGATGATTAAGAGTTGAAAAGGATTGGGGCGCCTGGGTGGCTTAGTCGGTTAAGCGTCCGACTTTCGCTTAGGTCATGATCTCGCGGTTCGTGGGTTCGGGCCCCGCGTCGGGCTCTGTGCTGACTGCCAGCTCAGAGCCTGGAGCCTGTTTCAGTCTGTCACTCCCTCTCTCTCTGACCCTCCCCTGCTCACACTGTCTCTCTCTCTCCTAGAAATAAATAAAACATTAAAAAAAAAAAAAGAGTTGAAAAGGATTGATGTCAAAATCTTGCATTTCACGCTTGTGAAATCTGTACAGACAAAATAGTTTCATTGATTTTTTTCCCCTAAAACTGGGGACCACCTAGAGAGGCCCCATGTCTATGGATCAGATGTTTTCTGGCACGTGAGGACAGACTGTGATTTATTTGAGATAGGGTGACATTTCCTCTCTCACCTTTCTCCACTTGCCTTCCTGGGGCCTGTGGCTTTGAAGTGGAGGATAAAACAAAGCAGTCTTTGGTAATGCTGCTCAAGGTGGAGGAGACTGAACCTGTTGCTATAGCAACACAGGCCAATGGTTCTCCATCCATCCAGCTAACCAACCAATGCCTACTGAGCACCTGTTTTGTGCCAGGCCCTGTTTTAGATGACAAAAACTCAGAGATGAATGAAAGAAAATAGTTGCTTTTGTGGAGCATCTATTCCATCAGAGAAAAGACATCAAACAATTAAAGAAACATAAACACAATAGAAGTCCAGGCAGAGATAAGGGCTATGAGGAAAATAAAGCAGGGAAAGGGGGAAGAGAGTAAGTGGCCTAGTGTGGCCACAAGGGCTTAACTGAGGCTCTACAAAGTGGTTCATCTAATTGCATAAAGAATTATCTTAAACCTCCCAAGCCAAGCCCCCCACTCTCAGTGGACTTCTTTCTTCTTGTTCTGCTTCTCCCATGGGATCTGAGGGTAGCCAATGACCCCAAACCCTCAGCTGCAGAATGGAAGTAGGTAAGGGTCATTAGGCAGGGGATGGATTGCCTCAGTGATCAGTTCAGATTGTGAAGTGCGGAGTATGACACTGACATCTTCTGATGGATATAGTAGTAAATCTCTCTCCTCCTGATAAAGACACAGATACAGGGAGCCCTGGGTCTATCTTGTGACCTCGATGGAAACCATCCCGAGGACAAAGCCCACCCATGAAAGAGGGTAGAGAGCAGAGAAGTGGAGCCAGACACCCAGTTGCTCTCCAAGCACACAGCACTGGAGTTTTCCCTTTGTGAACCAATCCATTCATTCAAAACATTTTGAGTGCTTATTATGTGCTAGACACTGTTCTACATGTTTGGGGGGAAAAAAAATCCCTGTCCAGTTTTTGTTGGCCTTTCTTCTAAATGGGAGGAGTGGTGGGCATATGATCATCAGAGTCAGACTTCCTGGGTTTAAATCCTGGCTCGACCACTCTGTGGCTGTGTGACATCAGGCAAGTTACTAAACTTCTCTGTGCATCGGTTTCCACACACAGAAAGGTGTGCCTATCTTTCTAGTGCCTACCTCATAGGATTGCTGTGAGGATTAAGTGAGAGAATGTGGCGGGCGTAGGACGGGACTGGGCATGGCATGAGCGCTTGTTGTGGGAGCTGGGAGGTGCCACCCAGTCCGCACTTGGGGAACGGAGGACTTCTGTCCCCAGCCACTGGGAGTCCTTTATAAGCATCGCCCCAGCTGAAGATGAGCGTGTTGCCCCAAGGCCAGGGCCTCTTTCTGGGAGTGGCCTGCATCCAACGACTGATGTACAAGTTGCTATAAAGGCCTGGCCCCCTTGCCTCAACTCGGGACAACCCTGAAACGTCACACAAGTCCTGGAACTTTCCATGGGATTGATGGAGGCCTTTGTTGGGCTTCCAGCTCAGCTCCACTTCTCCCTCTGCCCAATCCTGCTTCTTTTTCCTCCCTCTCTGTGCACACCGATCCCAGCAGCACGTGGTGCACGCTGGTCTCGGGGTATCTTCTCAGGAACCTAACCTATGACTCAGTAAATGTTAGTTGTTACCGTCATCATCTTCGTCATCCCCATCCAGAAGCATCTGAAGTGAGAGAGAAAAGAAGAGAAAGTGCATAAAGGAGAGAGGTTCCTACTAACTGGGCAAAGGTGACCCCTTATGGGGCAGAGCAGAATGGCTAGAACGAAGACCCCACACCTTTTGTGGAGCTGAAGGTTTGTTCCACGGAGGAGGGTGAGTCCATCTCCAGTTACTTCTGTGTGGATTGGAATTGGTGGCTTGAGCCTCAAGTAGAGCTCTGTGTATGAGCTGGACTGGCCAACAGTAAGATTTTTATTTCTTAATGGACTGTACCACCCTCTCCCCTCCAATATTAAGGGTGTAGTACAGGGTTACACTTTTACCTTGTTATTCAGTTTCCTGCCACGGCTATTCTGGGAATTTGGCAAGCACTTTTCACATATAAAAGCTCAGCTTTTAGTGCTGTGATGGGTGGACCAGCTGGAAAGGGATGGAGGCTCCTGGTTTTATAGTCGTATGGGGGCAGGAGTTTGCTTTCTTGAATCTGGAGAGATCTCAGGACACTGGTTATTTACAGGCTGAATCTGGCCAGTGAAAACCAGGATTTAGCACATACCCTGTTCATAGCTTTGCTGGAGGGGGAAGCTTGCTTCTGCCCTCTGGCTTTTTAAGTGCAGTGATCATGACGCAGGAAAGTAAACTGGCTGAGCTGTTTCTAAAATGCTAATGGATTCAGTTGAACCCCAGACATCATTCAAGGGCCCACCCTGGGCAAGCACTGTGTGTGTGTGTGTGTGTGTGTGTGTGTGTGTGTGTGTGTGTGTATGTATGTGGGCAGGTCCCTACCATCTGTAGGCGAGATAGGCTATGTTCCCAAACAACACATCACATGGCACACTGGACTTAGAACCAGTCAGACCAGTGCTCAAAACCTGAGCTGAGTCCGAGTTCTGTTACTAAAGGACGTGGTTTTATATTTGGGGTGACACAAAGCTCTTTAGACCAGTGGGTAAGAGATGGTAATTCCAGAAAAAGGAACTGTCTTGAATTTGCCATGTTATTTATGAATATTCAATTTTGCTATAGAAAATGAGAGAAATTAAGTATAGAAGCAAGTGGCTTATGAGATTTTTTAGATACAGATAGAATAAATAGAACATACATGGGTGGAATATAGCTCAAATGAGAATGTTACTTACAGACAAGGAATGAGAAGACCAAGTAAACCTTAGGGATTTATGAGGCAGGGATCACGTCTTCTCTAGATTGAACAATGTCACTCCTATGTTGACCACTCCCTGGTGACCTCCAAGAAACATGGATAAAACCCACAGCTGGTGAGCGGATGCTCAGCTGGCTCAAGCTCACTGGGGTGCTGCAGTGTGAACAGGTATACTTGACCTTGAGTCTTCCCCAGTAGAGGCAGTTTGTGTGCTTACTTTGGGCACCACCTCCAGCTCTTGCCCTTGGCCTGCCCTCAGGTCTCACCTCTGCAGCCACACCAGCGGGAGAGAAGGCTCTGTGGCGGAGAGGACGAGGTACATGAATGCTGCGTAACCCTGGACTCAGGTAGGGTCGTCCTGTCTCTTTACCTTTCTCCTTCTCACTGTGTGTTTTAACTTGATTCAATAAATGGTGTGATTCAGGGTGCCTGGGTGGCTCAGCTGGTTGAGCATCAGACTCTTGATTTCCACTCAGTCATGATCTCAGGGTTGTGGGATCGTGCCCCATGTCGGACGCCACACTGAGCGTGGAGCCTGCTTAAGATTCTCTCTCTCTGCCCCTCCCTCTCTTTCAAAAAAAAAAAAAAAGTAAAGATAAAATAAATAAATGGCTTAATTTGGGCTGTGAGCCTCTCTGTTCCGTGACCTCTGGCATAGGTCTGCCTGGGCATATCGTTAGAAGCCACTATTGCCTCAGGGTAACTTCTCAAATGACAGGGGAGTCGTAGCTCAGGCTTCCTGGAAGCAAAACCCAAGACATAAATTCTTCTGCAGGTAATTTATGAGGAGGTACTGTCTGGGGAAATAGTCTGTGAGGAAGTGAGAAAAACAGGATGGGAGGAGGGAGGAGACCACACAAAGATGAGGTTCAGCTGAAGTGTAACCTCGGCCTGGTCCCGTGGGCAGCTCTGAAGCATGGACAGCACCGCAAGCTTGACCTTCCTTGAGGTGAAAGGGCAGCCTTCTGTGCCTTGTTCCAGGGAATGGACGCACCGGCCTAGGAAAAGGGGTCTGGGGGCGGGTATTGGCAGCACCTGCTACAGGTGGGTTACAGTGGCAAGGGAGGGAAGAGAGAACTTCCCAGGTTGGTAGGTTGGTAACCCAGTGGGGGAAAGGACTAGAAAGGCATGATGCAATATGACCAAGGGCTCAGACCCCTTGGAAAGGTCTGGAGGTCAGAGCAAGAAGTTAACACCTGATTCCATGGGTGGGAAGCCATAGGGAGCCATGGCGTGTTCTTGAGCGTATGTGTAACTTGGAGCAATGTTTAGGAAGAGAGCCATATGACAGTGGCATGTGAGTTGCAAGGAGGGCCCCTGGGCCTGGTCTGGGCACTACTACAGGTAGCTTAATGCATCTCTCTGCAGCCTTTGGGGAGCTCGGTACACTCAGCAGCTACTTTGCCAGGGTCTAGTGTTGTAGCCTTCTTCCTGGCCTCAGTCTTACATGATTCTCTTAAGAATCAGCCTTGTCCTGAAGGAAAAGGGGCTGGAACCATATCCCCAAGAGGTCAGCCTCCCTGGGCCAGGCTAGGGAGGGGTGCATTGCTGAAGGCTCTCCCTCAGAGAAGAACACCTCGTAAAAAGCTCAGCACAGATCTGGGCCTGCTACAGAGGTCTGATTTGTGCTGGAGTTATACAAACTGAGCTGGCTCCAAGGAAGGTTACCTGATCTCTAAGTAATACAGAGCTTTTAAGCCTCTGGCTTCTGTCCGAGGCACCATGGCCACCTGATCAGCGGCAGCTGAAGATTCGTGGCCTCAGACCAAGCCAGCCTCCAAGCAACGATCCTTTCTCAGGGCAGAGGTCTTCAGTGTCTTGATATCAAAACGTTAAGGGCAGTGGTTCCTAAACTCCAACATGCAGAAACACTACCTGGGGTGCTTTCTGAAAGCACAGATTTCTGGGCACCCCCCAGTATAAGCCCTCTGGAGACAGGCCAATGTATCAGCTAGGAACAGTCTAGGTTATGATGCAGTAACAAAGGAGCCATTGAGTTCATTTCTTCCTGACTACGTGGCCGTTCAGACCAGCAGGGGGCTCTGTTCGTTACAGTCACTCAGGGATCCAGGCTGGTAGAAGCTCTATGTTGACATGTGTTTCCACAATTGCAGGGGTAGAGAAAGATGACGCTGGCTCTTGAGCCACGCATTTCTGTCTGGAAATGAATGGGTGTCACTTCTGCTCAAATTTCATTGGCCAAGTAAGTCCCATAGCCAGGCCCCAGTCCATCAGGGTGTAGAAATGTAAACAGAATCCAGCCCACCACACCAATATCCACACATAAGAGCCCAAAAGTGACTTCTTTTCTCATGTCTTTGCATATGCTGTTCCATCTGTTCCATCTGTCCTATCCGTGCTTCTCTGGGCAGCTTTTCCCAATATGCCCCAGTCTCCAGGCCACCCTGAGGGCCCTGGCCTGATCTCTGTTAGGACGCATGTCACAGTGTGTTGCAACTGTCAGTTTGTCCATCCCCCCTGCCCACTGGACGGAGGGCTCCTGGGAGGCGGGAACACACAGTGGTCACAGGCCTTGTGGCTCCAGCCCCTGGAAGCAGGAGACGAGCAAGTGCTCAGGGACAAATAGCAGAGTGATGAAGAGCTGGATTCTGGAGTTTGCAGGAGAGGTCCCTCTTCTTTTCCCACAGGAACAGGGTATTTATGGACTTTAGAAAATGGGGAAGAGGAAGGCAAGGATTCTATGACTTCGGGATGAGCCAACTGCAGATAGAAGAAACTCCCGCTGTAGAAGGGGGCTTTTTCCAAGGCTTCATTGCCCCATCATGGAAAGACTCACCTCAAACCCGGGTTAGTCACTGCCCGGAGCTGCTGTGTCACCATGGGATGGATTTCAAGAGACCAAGAAGGGGACATTCTGCAGCTGGGGGGAAAATCCTTGCTGTCCTGGCTTTGGGGCTCCTGGGGCCCGTTAGAAGTCATTGTTAGCAAAGGGGCAGATGTTAGTGGTCCCTTCGGAGGAGCTTGGCCTGAGTCCTGTCTCTCCACCGCCTCTGGGGTCTGGGGAAGGAGATCGAGGCCTGCCCAGCAAGGGCATTAGCCTGACTCTGGTGGGGGGCTCTGCAAGGTCTGGGTCGCCTGTTGGGTGTCTACACCTGGCGTGACCGTAGAAAGGAGTCAAAGAGGCCGGGAACTGTGGGTGGGAATAAAATACTGCAGTGTTGAGCTGCACAAGGCGGGATCCATCACCGTGATCTTGACTTCTGGGGGCTCTATCTTTCTCCCCCTTCCCACCTCACACCTCGGGCTCTGGGGGAGGAACCATTTTCAGTTCTCAGAATACCCGGAGCTCTCCCACTTCTGGGCCTGTGTGTGCATTAACCCTGACACAAATTTCAGCCTCTTCACTGCATTTTTCACAAGAGATTAAAGTCTTCAAGTGTTTTTCCTCTTTGTTGTGGCTTTTCCTGAAGTTTGAGGGAGGGGACTGTGCTAGGGTGGGGTCCCCTGTGCAGTGCCCAACACTCAACTCAGCTCCCCGTTCCTTGCCCTTTGCCTCCCTCTCCACCTGGATCTCTTGGGGGCTCCAAGCCCCTCCCTCCATCATGCACAGTGCTCCCCCTGCCTTTATTTATTTTTAAAGTTTATTTACTTTCAGAGAGACAGAGGTAGTGTGAGCAGGGGATGGGTAGAGAGAAAGGGAGAGCAAGATAATCCCAAGCAGGCTCCCTACCGCCAGCCCACGGCAACGTGAAGAGTGAACCACCCTGAGATCACCACCTGAGCCAAAATGAGGAGTTGGATGCTTAACCCACTGAATCACCCAGGCACCCCCTTCCCCTTCCTTTAGAGCCTCAAGGCCGCAGCATGCCTTGGACTTGGACATGCGGCTTTTGCCCCAGTTCAAGGCCAAATCAATTCCTTGAAAAAGGAATTACTCTCTGTAAATAACAACCTCCTTGCTCAGCTGCTAAAATAACATCTTCCCCACCTCCTTCTAGGAGATTCCCTTCACCGGGGCCCACCTGGCCTTGTCAGGCCCCGCCCCTCTGGTCTCTGCCTACAGATTGTGCTTCAAAAGAACTGATTGTTCCATTTTCAGGACTTTTACGAGCTGGGCTGTTAAACTCGGCCATTATTAAACATTCACGTATGGTAATAAATACTAAAAATTCATCATTTCCTAATTACTTCAGCACGTTTTGCTATCACCTATGCTCTTGAAGTTATGTCCCTTGCATCCATATGGTGAAACCAGCATATATTTTGCAGGCTACTCTGCACCTCTTCTCGAATCTTTGTTTAGTATATTACACTGTGTCTTAGTCTGTTTGGGCTGCTGTAAGAAAATACATCAGACTGGGTAGTTTATAAATAACAAAAATATATTTCTCATACTTCTGGAGGTTGGAAGTCCAGGATGAAGGCACCAAGCTGGCTGTCTTCTGGTGAGGGCCCCCTTCCTGGCTGTAGAGTCAGTACCTTATTTCTCCTATGTCCTCACATGGTAGAGGGGGCAAAGGACCCCTTGGAGCCTCTGTTAGGAGGGCATTCATCCTATTCTTGAGGGCTCCGCCTTCATGACTTTACCATATTCCGAAGGCTCCACACCCTAATACAGTCACTGTGGGGGTTAGGATTTCAACATATGAATTTTGAGAGAGACACAAATATTCAGATCAGAGCACACTGATAGCTGGAAATCAGCCTTTGTGTGTATATTTACACCATGAAAACCAGCAAATACTATAAATCGGGGGTTGTTGATTGCCTAAACTTAGGGAAGTGATCGAGAAAGTGCAGGTTAATCTTGAGAGTGTGTAGCCATTGCGTTGTGAACTGTACAAAAAAGATCCAGGGAATATTCATTTGGCATTTATTAAATGTTTATTTATTTTTGAGAGAGAGAGAGAAACAAGTTGGGGAAGGGCAGAGAGAGAGGGAGACAGAATCCAAAACAGGCTCCAGGCTCTGAGCTGTGAGCACAGAGCTGGATGGGGGGGGGGGGGTGGACCTCACAAACCGTGAGATCATGACCTGAACCGCGGTTGGACACCACCCAGGCGCCCCATCGTTTGGTATTTAAAAACTGCTATCCAATTGGGCAAAGAAGTTGTTCCTGTCACTGACAAATAAGTGAAATCCCAACATACCTTTTTATCTCAGTTTTGTCTTACTAACAGAAACAAGAATATCAGCAAATATTCTGTCAGAACCACACCTGCTCATCAGTTCGAACGATGGATTGGCTCAAGACCCAGGTGTTAGCAAAAATCAACAAAAGTATTCTGTGAAAATCCATTAGTTGTATGGAATTTATAATAGGGTATGGTATGGTTTATTATTGATAAATTACGTGCTCTGCATCCTTCATAGCAGTAAAAGTCATGAACACACACAGAGTTTTCTGGAAAGCCAGTCGTTAAACATTTGCCAACACACCGCTGCCCAGTGTCTCCTGTTCTGCCCCTATTGCAGAACTCACCTACTGTGCTTGCATTGTGTGTTTGCTTGTCTGTATCCCCTCAGGACTGTGGGCCTGTGGTGGGGACTGTCTCATTTCTGTGTGGATACGCAAGTACTAGTCAGGACTCTGTGCTCAGGAGTCACTTAGTACGTTCCTGTTGCACGAAGACGCTAACACAAAGGTACTTCTGGGTCCTAATGGGAAGGGAATGATTCTTGTCCCCTGTGTCAGCCTGTGAAGTGGGGGTGGGTATGTAACCGTGGGGTCTTGATCCTGCAGTAGGCAGTCAGCACACACTTTCCCTTCTCCCTGCTTCTCTCTCTGGATCCAGGGAGTGGCACAGTGCTGAGTGGGTTCCCTGAAGTGTCCCACCTGCTGCCAGATGGCTCTGAGGCTCGTGGGGATGTGAGGAGAATTCAGGATGCCAAGAATGCACAAGTGGGTGGGAGTGGGGTACAGTGGTCACAGGGTCAAGCTGCAAGCCCCTTGAGGGCTGAGGGCACATCCCATTACTGTCTCCTCCCTAGGACCTGTTTTGACAAGAGCCAGCGTGGTCCCCCATGGCGAAGCCCACTCCTCCCTCTGCTTCCCTCTGCTTACCTCCTCTGACCGCATCTCCTCATATTCTCCTTTCTGCTTCTGGCATACTGACTCTTGGCTCCTCCTGCATCATGTGTCCCCAGGCCTCAGGGCCTTTGCACCTCCTGTTCCTGAACTGCTCTCCCCCAGAAATCCACATGGCTTGTCAATGAAGTCGGGTCTCTGTCCATATCTCACCTCATCAAAAAGGCCTTCCTTTGTGACCAGTGTGGCCTTCATTGTGCCATGGCTTCCTTAGCCTGCTTGACTGTTCTTCATGGACCTGCCTGCCCCCCCCCCCCCCCCCCCCCCCCCCCCCCCCCCCCCCCCCCCCCCCCCCCCGGCTCCCGCCCCAGAGGGAGCACGCACTTGGTTATTTTCGGCCACCCCTCTCTCAGCTGTAGACTCTAGAGCAGGATTCTTTCTGTTCTGTTCCTGACTTTACCCCCAGGATCTGACATGGTGTAAGTGAATGTAAAGTCATTGAAGCAATGTCTGCCGACTGACTCTGCCTACAAGAATAAAGGATCTGTTGTCAGAACTAGATACCAACTCCAGCTCCCTGCTCCCCTGGCTAATTTGGTCCCAGCCCCTGTTCTTCTTGGACCGATAATCTGAAGACCCGGATAGTTTTCTTATTTCTCTGCGGTTACCTCCCTAGCCTAATGGGAGGTGTCTCCTCTTCTCCAGGGGAGCCCGAACCGCCCCCCGCCCCCAAATGGTGCCACTGGGTAAGCTGGGCAGCTGGCTCTGATCCAGGCAGCCCCTGAGGCCCAGGGTGCAAGTTGCTTGGCCACGCTCAGCCTGGAGGAGTGCTCCAGCTGACCCTCAGATGCTTTCATTTTAGTTCACTTTTAAACTGACTCTAACATTCAGAAACTGAGATGTTTCACCAAACAGTCAGAAGGCCCGGCCGTAGTGGGGTGGCCTTCAGGCATGGCACAGCCCCACAGCCCGGGAGCTGAAAAGCCGGCCCTGTTTTTGCTCAACGCTCCAATTTGCCACGGCCCTCATCACCCTTGCAACATTAGCTCTGTGCCTGCCGGTGCTGCCTGAAATACAGTGAGTGCATGGTAGCCTTTCCCCTCCCGCTAGCTGTGCGACCTGAGCGAGGCTCTTAACTTCCCGAGATGCCTTCATCTGCAAGATGGAGTTCCCAATTACCTGCTCCCCCAGCCCCAGACCATGGTGAGGACTGGATGGGAAATTCCTTGGGAAGCAGAAGCACTCCCCGCCCCCAGCCCCCCAGCCGTGCTGCTCTGCTACCTCCTCTTCTCTTAGACCCCCTTCCCAGGTGCTACCCCTTGTGTCCATGGACACTGTTCTCTAGCCGGCCCAGGTGGGTCCCCCCTTCGCAGCTGGACCTGCCTTCCCAGGCGGGGAGAGCTGTGGGCGGCCACTTGCTACTGCTGCACCTGCAGTGGTGTGAGAGGTCACCGCTGGGGAAGGATGCATACGTCACCGGGAAGGGATGACGGGATACAGGAGGGCATGGAGTCCTAGCAGGGCTTGGCCTCGGAACAACTAAAAATGAGATTTGAGCCGCCAGATGGGCGGTTGCCACTGGAAAGTCTTCCTGTTCCAATCCTAAGGTCCTCATTCTAGAACCAGGTGTCGCAGCGACTGCCGGGGAACCAGCTGGGTTTGCTCAGCTTTGCTTTGCAAGGAAAAGCTACTCCTTTCCTCCTGGGACTCTTAAGCTAGTACACCTTTTAAAATGTTTTAAACTTTTATTGTTTCTTTGAAATAAAGTGTTCCTCTCATTCCAAAATGAAATGCACTTCCAATGGATTTCCCAACGTTTTCTTTATTTTGATTACAAAAGTAATCCGTTCATGGTTTTTATAGAAAAACTGGGGAAATGTATAAAGATGCAGACGGAAATGAAAATCTCCTATAATTACTGTTACTATTTTTGGTTTATGTCACTCTAGACTGTTTGGTGTATACTTCCAATCATGTATGTATGTATGTATGTATGTATGTATCTTCCACACATGGTGTCAGAATCTATTTTATTTAATTTATTCTGTTTTTTTTATGTTTTTATATTAGTTTTCAGAAAGAGAGAGAGAGAGACAGAGACAGAGAGACAGAGAGAGACAGAGCGTGAACAGGGGAGGGGCAGAGAGAGAGGGAGATACAGAATCTGAAGCAGGCTCCAGGCTCTGAGCTGTCAGCACAGAGCCCAACACAGGGCTTGAACTCATGAGCTGTGAGATCATGACCTGAGCCGAAGTTGGACACTTAGCCGACTGAGCCACCCAGGTCCCTAGAATCTTATTTTATTATTTGAAAAAAATTTTTTAATGTTTTGTTTATTTCTGAGAGAGAGAGAGACAGTGTGAGCAGGGGAGAGTCAGAGAGAGAGGGAGATACAGAATCTGAAACAGGCTCCAGGCTCTGATCTAGCTGTCAGCACAGAACCCGATGCAGGGCTTGAACCCACAAACTGTGAAATCATGACCTGAGCCGAAGTTGGATGCTTAATCGACTGAGCCACCCAGGCACCCCCAGAATTTTATTTTTTTTTAAAATGTTTTATTTATTTTTATTTTATTTATTTTTTTTTTGTGGTATTTCCAAGTCTAATTTAATTTGTTCAAAATTCTTTTTTTTTTTTTTTACAAATAGTTTATTGTCAAAATGTTTTATTTATTTTTAGGAGAGAGAGAGAGAGACAGCGTGAGCAGGGGAGGGTCAGAGAGAGAGGGAGTCACAGACCGAAACAGGCTCCAGGCTCCGAACTGGCAGTCAGCACAGAGCCCGACGCGGGGCTCGAACCCACAAACCATGAGATCATGACCCAAGCGAAAGTCGGACGCTCAACTGACTAAGCCACCCAGGCGCCCCCAGAATCTTATTTTAAACACTATTTTATAACACAGAGCATTAGGCTTGGGAAACAGTAGGTAATAAATAAATATTGCCACTGCAAATAAGTATCATTTATCGAGTGCTGGCAATATGCCAGGCATGATGTTCAGCGTTTGATATACTATCTCACCCAGTCCACAGAACAGCCTTAGGGCGCAGAAGCTGTCTTACTCATGTTTTACAGACAAAAAGCTTGCGGCCCAGAGAGATTATGTTACTTGTCAAAAGTTACAAAGGTTGCCAACGAGATGGACAAATGCCCGTGTCTCTGCATTTTTGTATCAACAAAGGGCACAGTTTAAGTGCCTTACTGCTCCCTCAGGTGCAAACTGTCATTGAGAGTGAGGCAAACACAGGTTCCGGTCTGGGGGGCAGGAAATCTGGCTTTGCAACTGACCAGTTGTATGATCTGGAGCAAGCCACTTAGCCTCCCTGACCCTCAGTCTCCTCATCCACAAAATGGGATTCATGTGGAAAGAAGGGTTAGTACTGTGCCCGGGATATAGTGGTGTTTGAAATGATTAGTGAAAGCTGATGGCAGTTGGAAAGCGTCAAGAAACTGCAACAGCATATAATACAAAGCTTGCTTGTAAAAGCCTCACCCGTCATATTTCATGGCGGTATTTGCCAGTGCGGAGCTGGTGGGATATGAGCTGGGTCATTAGTGAGTCTCTGTGAGGCTGTGCTTATTTCCTAGGATGGATGACTGAGCTGCAAAAAGACTGCTTATCAATTTGTATTTGAAAAAACAGCTCATCCACGGTATCTAAATGTGCCCAACTCCTAAAATAGTGCATTTATAGTTCTTGAATCTTTGAGGCTCAAATAAAAATCAGTGGTGGGGGTGGGGGAAGATGAATATGCACAGGTTACCTGAATCTGAATTAGCCTGAAGGGTATGGCAATTAGGGGTCTCCCAGTTCTCCCCCTTCCCTGTGGCACATTAACTTTGGTGAGCCTCAGTTTTTCCTAGTGTCGGGTGGGAGTTAGTCATGCCTCCCTCCTTGGGATAGCGTGACGGTGAAAAACTATGTGTGAAGGTGTTAGCTCGGGGTCTTGGTCATAATAAATAACACCCTTTATGAGGCCTTATATGTGCGGTGGTCGGGAACACAGGCTTTGAGGTTAGCGTTAGAATCCTGGTTCCGCCATTCACCGGCTCTGTCACCTTGGGCAAGTCATTTAGCCCCTCGGAGCCCATCTCATGAGGTGTGTAAAGACTAAGCACTATTATACGTGCTGGTGGCCCAGAGCAGGCATCCGACATCAAATATCGCAAGGAGGCCCTCCTTGCTTTCTCCTGGGCACATCTCTTGCCTTTTTGATCCTTGTAGAGCCTGAACCGCATAACGTAGCTCTTGATT